TTCCTCGGGATTTTGGGTGGTTGCCCTTATTATGTTACACAGCCAAATTTTGAATGAATCGTCTCCTAGGTCGTGCGAGATCTTCTTTGAGGTCGATCCCGATCTGTGGCCTTGTTGTGGTCGTGTCCGACACTGGTCTACTTGAACGGCTTCCCTTCCTTTGTTGTGGGCGTATCGAGTAAGAGCTTCATGCGCATTCTTGAGGACTATCTTAACATGCACCTTATGGGTTTGTTCGTACCTGTTGGACTCCGCCTTGAGAACATGAGGAGGCTTGTAATCGTCTTGCCTTAAATCACGTTGTGCTGGGGTGATTTGGAAATGATCAGCACGAAATGACCTGGGTAACTTGTCCTTGTGAGAGCTTCTAGTCGCTGGTCGATGAATATCACGTGAATCGAGTAAATCAACGTCATGAGACCGTTTGACTGCCAGCATCTGAGCTACATATAGTGATCTAGGCAGGCTAGCATCATGAGGATTCCTAACCGCCAGCCGATGGGTAATATGAGAGTCGAGCGAGTTAGTTCCATAGGAACATTTAACCACTGGCATCTGAGTTGCATACGATGATCTAGGCAAATTAGTATTGTAGGGATTTCTAACCGCCATCCGATGAGTAATACGAGAGTCGGATGAGTTAGCTCCATAGGAACGTCTAACCACCATCATCTGAGCTTCATACGGCGATCTAAGATCATTAGCATCATGGGGATTTCTATTCGACAGTCGAGAGTCGGGCGAGTTAGTTCCATAGGAATGTCTAACCGCTGGCATCTGAGCGGCCTTAACAGCTGAGTGCGGAACTCGTATGATCAAAGGCAAGAAACGGGAGCCCCGAGACATAGGCGCAAGGTGCCAGGGCAGCTTAGATTGGGGCTTAGCCTTTGCAGGAGCAGACCGACCATTCTTCTTTAACGCAGGGACAACTGGGTTCGCAGACTGCAACAACTGCACTTTTCTTAGGATATCGCGAGCGATCACGCCTCTATTGGGCTTCGCTTGTAGAAGCGGATTGGGGTAAGTCAAAATCACCTTGAAAGGTCTGTTGCCTCAAAATAAATCCACTTGTGGACAAGATTTCCTCATTGCCCGAGCCTTTAAGGTTCGTGACTCGACTTCTTGCGCACCAATCATTGCTTTCTCATCATGCGGGGTAACCGTGACACTAGGAGAAGCAGGTTAGCCCCTGATTAGGGAGGCATGCAGTGGAACCTCCATTGTTCCTACCTAAAAGGATGTCATTGCCTTAGCCATGATTACCTCTAACAACCTGTTAAGAAGGCGTCTCTCGTCAGGGTAAATAAAGAAGACATGAGAGTAGAGTAGAAAAGATCTTAAATCAAGATCTATCGAGAGTGAGAGATTCAACTTCGTAGACTCAATCAGAGTTGAAAGGTAAATTACTCCCCAGTGGAGTTGCCAAAGATTTGGTTGCTTTGAAATATGGATGTGTTAAAGGAAATATAGAAATTTTAAACCAACATTAGACTCTAGATGGAAAATCATAGGACATCACATTCAGGGCCAAATTCACCCGTGCACATCATATTAGAAATACATGCTTTATTATTTATACTAGGTATTGAGCAATTTCAGAGGTTTAATCCTCTGTTACATTTACATCGACTTTGTAGAATTAAAATAAATCGAACACCTTTGATTCTGACTTTGAAACCTATATATACGTTTCTAAAGAAGAAAATACATACATGTTAAAAGGGAAAAGATAATGTCATGGGCATATCGGCACATATATCTGTTAAGCAGGGACTTGTTATTATTCGAATCTGGTCTTCAAAAGGGAACATGTCTAAGCGAAGCTTAAAAGATGATAATCTCTCACCTCGTGCCTTGAATACTACACTCTCTTTTAAGTTGTGTCTTCTCAAAAGTGCAATCTGTGTTTCTCTAAAAAGTACAACCTCCTCTTCAATCGATGAGCATCCCTTTTTATATGGATAATCATGCATTTTGAATATTCTGATCTTCATCCTCCATTTTCATCGTAAGTTATCTTCTTAATTGAAGCATAAATCTTGCAGGAAGTGATCTTTATCTTCATACGCAGTTTACCTTCGGTTTACCTCTTGTAATTATCTTTTTATGCTGATGATCTTTCTACTAAGTTATATTCACATATGCAATTAATGGCGCTTCTCGAACCTTCGAACTCTATGATTTTCCAGGAGAAGAATTAGATATTCATCGTTATCGTCAATGTTGATGGTAGTGGGCTATAGCCACTTCGTTTGTTCCAACTCAATCTATGCTAACATTTTAAGAGTGATAAAAAAGAAGCCCAGAGTTCAATGGAGCTGATTAAACGAGAGAATTTCTTGTTCCGTGAAGAAACAATTCCCTTCTTTGTGGATACCAATTGACCGTACGATCTGTAAAGCTTTTAAGGCTTTAACTGACGAACAATGCTACTAACGGTGGGTTAAGCCATCGTTGGACAGTTAAAGACTCCTATTGAAATTGAGATAATTTTAAGCCATCTTCGAGCAGCTTTAGACTGCTGTTGAAACTGAGAAGAGTTAAGCCATCTTTGGGTAGCTTTAGACTATTGTTGAAATTGAGATGGGTTTAAGCCATCTCTAGGCAGCTCTAGATATCTGTTGGAACTAAGATAGGTTAAGCCATCTCTAGGCAGCGTTAAACTGTCGTTGAGACTAAGATGGTTTTAAGCCATCTCTGGACAGCTCTAGACTACCGTTAAGACTGAGATGGTTTTAAGCCATCTCTGAGCAGCTCCAGACTACCGTTGAAACTATCCTTGGCCTATTTTCGAAATCCATTGAGTGAGTCATGCTCTGATCAGGGCACACTTGCATGATGAGAAACACTTTTATCCTCCGTTGGTTCACTTCATGTCTTCAAGTGGTCTAGTCTTAGTTTTCATACTCTTTCCAAAGACAAAGCATAATTTGTTCAATGGATCTGGAACTGTTTGTGATAAAAGTACACCCAACAATGCCATCCTTTGACTGCTCTTTATTTCTTATGTTTTTATATAAATAGCAGTCCGAGGATGTCATCCTCAGACCGCTCTTTATTTGTTATTATTTAATAAAAATAACAGTTCGAGGATGACATCCTCAGACCGCTCTTTATTGTTTATTTTTTAAGATAAATAGCAGTCCGAGGATGCCATCATCGGACTGCTGTTTATTTCTTATTGTTTGAGACAAACAGTGGTCTGAGGATGCAAACCTCGGAACGCTTAGCATCGGTCACAGGATTCGAACCTCAGACAGCGTGGGCACACTTAGAACATTGCACTACTCACAAAAAAACTAAATAATAAGAATAATAATTTAAAATGTAGTCTAAGGATGGTATCATCCGACCGAGGGGTAATTTTTTCAAAAAAAGAAAAAGGTGGGGTTGACCGACCTTAGTTGTAATTATAGGGAGCATACCGTATTTTCGAAACTTTTTTATGATCCGTATGTTAATAAGTCTTATAATTGTAATTTTTGGAGTTTATCTCCTTCTATTAATTAATGGGTGTGGTTTCTATAAGGTTGCAACCTTAAACAATCCAATTAAGGCGCACCTCTAAATTTTATCATAACGTGTAATTTTGATATAAATAATTATTAGGATTATCTCAAGATCGATTTTAATATCTAATTATAAAATTTTAAACTCCAAACATGGTTAAAATCAAGTAGATCTATAAACATATGAAAATCTTGAAAATAGACGGTCTAAATAATGTGCTATAAGATACATTATTTTTTGAACTCAAATTTCTTTACTTTCATATTCATACATCTAGTTGTCGAGATGATCAATTAGAAGGTTTTTCAACATTAAAACACCTTTTTTCAAGGGAAAGTATATAATGATACGATTTACCTTTGGTGCAAGGTGGTCACAATTGATCTTGACTACTAGATGTGATATTGGGTGGCTGCAGTTATTTAATTGACCAAGCTCAATGTCTAAAAGAATATTCTCGAACTTTGTGATATATCTAAACTATCATATTTCTTTCATATGATTGTAAATAATCGTGACTCCTCCATGTATAAAAGGTAAATTGGTCTCTATACAATCCATTTTTCAGATTTAGTTATAAGTAATCGTGACTCCTCCATATATAAAAGATAAACGGTCTGCATAAAATCCATTTTTCAATGGGCTTTTGAGGTGCATATGTATAAAACTATTTTCCTTAATTTCCGTTACCATTCTAAAAAGATTGCGATCTCCCGTTCCTCTCTTTATTCCTACGTGTACGCGTCCTTAGCGTGTAGTGGCCCCTATCCTTTCTTTTCACTCTAATTCTATATCCGGTAAAATATTTTTCTCATTCTTCCCGCATCTATCTCTCATCTCTCATCTCAATCTCTACGTGTGTGAAGACCCATCGCCGCCCCCTCGGGAAGCGGCGCCACCCCTGCACTTGAACACCGAACCCACCTCTCCATCTTTCTCTCTCTCTTGATAACCCACGCCACCTTCTATCGGCAAACTCCGCCCGACAATCTCGCCGCTAAATTCTTTTCCCAGATTCCGTCACCACCGCTGCGTTACCCCGCAGTCTTACTTGACCCAACCCACTTCCTCATCATATTACATCAACGCTTCAGTTTGGCAAATGAGAATAGGGCCGATGCTGGTCCCAATTACGCAGCTCGGTGGCCTCTGCTCAAAAACCAATAGAGCTTGGGCCCGCCGGACCTCGGCTACGCAAGAGAGGATATATATATATAGCACAGCCCAGCCCGACCTTGAGATGGCCGGGTAAGACTTACGAGAAACAGGGGTGGCCCGGCCCAGGCCTGCCTCCCGTTGAAGCACTAGGCATAAAGTTCGGGAAAAGATGCATTTAATTTTTGGGTCTTTCCCATTAATATCAAACATTTCATAAAATTTGATACATAATAGAAATGATATTATTTTTTTTTCAGATTAATTAGGGATACATGCTTAGTATAACAAACAATTATTCATCCAAAAAAGTTCAATTACAATTCGGATGCTTTTCCCCTCGCTTTTACACATTTTATGAACGGGCCACACTTCAGAGTCCACATGGACCGACTGCTCTCTTTTTACAAAACAAGACACCAAAAAATCTAAAAAAAAAACAGTAGCAAAATACACATACAAAGAATGGTAGCTTCTGTAGAGGATCAAGCAAAAACACAAGCATTGGTTGGGTCGCTGGAATTCCTAACGTTCCGACGAGTACGCCGCAGTTGACGATCGCAAAACCCACTTTCTGAAGGACAACTTGCCGGAAAAACCATGTCTGGTTGCACAACTGCCAGTTTTATTCCTGCTACTCCTGGCAGAGACAAAGCGCTGTATCCTCTGTAATGCAACATCCAAAGTATTTTGTGACATATTTGCGAAACACAGCCTGAACCATCCCGGCTCGGTGCAATGGCACGAGGAGCCCGGGGATATGTTGAGGCCCACCTCATAGAGTATCGACTTCCACAGCTCGATCTCACCTGCAAATGTCGGTGACTGCAACAAGTGACTCATGTTCACCCAACAGAACAACCCTGAATTTCCCTGCAGGCAACTGATTCCAGAATTCTGAAGGCCCCTAACGAGCGCCTGTTGCCGTTGCTTGAGCCGCCTGCGGTTCTCAACTAAGTAGGAAGACGTGAACTTGTTGTCGGACAGGAGTGGAGCGAGCAGGTGCTGAGTCTGCGAGGACACAAGTCCGAAGCTTGACATTTTTGTCGCTTCCGCCACCACTGTATCGCCGTAAGAGTAGATGGCACCCACCCTAAAGCCTGGCAAGCCGAGATCTTTCGACAGACTGTACACCAGGTGCACCCTCTGGCGTGCCGGGTGGTTCAGTGGAAGGACCTCTGCAATGCTGACAAAGTTTTGGGATCCAAAGACCGTTCCAGAATAAATTTCATCGCAGACTAAATGGATGCCCTTGTCTGCTATGAAACTCAAGAGCATCTTCAGGGTGGCGCGAGTCATGGTCGTTCCGAGAGGGTTCGACGGGTTTGTTATCAAAATTCCTTTAACCTTGAGCTTCTGGCTCATGGCACTCTTGTAGGCGGCTTCCAGCGCAGATTCCCGTATCTGGAAGTCGTTCGAGCTATCGCAGTGTATCGGTACTATCTCGACTTCAGTTCGCCACTTCAGGTCACGATCAAATCTGAATGGAATGAATCAATTTAGTTTAACAAAAAAAAAAAAATCTGATAGACCACTTTCTTGGAAGTATGAGTATGATGAGTACTCACCCTGGATAGTAGGGAGTAGGAATTAGAAAGGCTTCTCCTCGGTTAGCCACGCAGAACATTAGGATTTCATTCGCCGAAGTTGCACCAGCAGTGAGAACCAGTCTTGCAGGATCGAAACTGGCTTTGTTTCCTCTGATTTCTCCCATGAATGATGCTAATGCCTGCAAAACCAGCACTCCATGAGATTTTAGCAAAGAACTGCAGCTCTCAACGTTCTTTTTAGAGAGAGAAAATCCTTTACTCTAAGTTCTTAGAGAGAAACTCACACTCTTGAAAGATGGCATCCCATGGTAGTCTTGGAAAAGAGCTAGCTCTCTAAACACGGATGCACCATTATGCTTGAAACCTGCAGCTTCAGGGTTTTCAGCCAGCCATGACTCCAGGAGATCGAATGATAACTGCACTATTAATCCTCCCATTAGAAATGATGAACTTTTCTCAATTTGATGAGAGAGAAACAAGTTAGAGAGAGATAGAGAGAAATTGTAGGCAACCTGGTTCTCTGCAAGGCCCATTTGTATAATTCCACTAGGGTTCTTGATCTCATCGTAGGCGTTCTTCTCGTACTCCTGCCACCCCAAGAAGTAAGATGAGTCTTGGCCATGTGAGTTGCACGAGGCTTTTCTTGACAGGAACTGCTGCGTCATGGCAATCCTAGAGAGAGAAAGCAACTGCAAAAGAGAGGATCCCTAGAGAGAGAAAGCAACTGCAAAAAAAAAGAGAGATTCCCTAAAGCGATTGCATTAGAGAGAAGTGCTACTGCACTAGAGAGAGAGAAAGGAGAGGAAGGATTCAAATTGCAGTACTCTTGGTTTGCTTGAGAGCGATATATCAAACCATATTTATATTGTATAGAACCTAGAGAGAGAGGGATAGGAATGGAGAAAGACATGTGAAAGGGTGACGTGAACATTTTGACCAGGCCTGGTTTTAGAGAGAGAATATGTGTTAAGGATTTAGAGAGAGTGTTAAGGATTTAGAAAAAGGGAGGGGTTACAAAGGATTTAGAGAGAGAGGAAGAGGGTTTTTTAGAGAGAGAAAGAGGGTCTTTTAGAGAGTGAAAAAAAAAAAAGAGTAATTGAGACAAAATGTGCCGACAAAAAATCTATGGGACCATGGGTTTGCCGAGTCTCATGGGGGAGAACGGCGGGGGGGCCAGAGAGACGGCATCGTCCCAGCACCTCGACATGTCACTAACGACATGTCGGCTTTTCTTTTTCTTGTTGTTTTTATTTTCTCTCTCTTCATGAATCTCTCTTATTTTCCTCACCCTCTCTCTCTTGCTGTTTTTTTCTTGCTGTTACTTTCTCTCTCTTCATGAATCTCCCTCTTATTTCCCTCACCCACTATCTCTTCTTTCTTTCTATTGCTGTTGTTTTTCTTGTTTTTTCTCTCTTCATGAATCTCTCTTATTTTCCTTACCCAATCTCGCTCTTCTTTCTTTCTCTTGCTGTTTTTTTATGTGTTTTCTCTCTCTTCATGAATCTCTCTTATTTTCCTTACCCACTCAATCTATTGGTTCTTTCTTTTGCTGTTTCTGAGCTTCTCACTGCAATATTTCCTCCTCAACATCATGCCATGGAATGCAGAAAGTGGGGGGCCTTCTTTTGAAGCAATGATGGTGCCTCTTGCCAACTGTTTTCTCATAAACCCCGCTCATAGATTTTCCATCCCGTCACTCTCACTCTGCCATTTCCACTTATAACCCTCTTTCTCTGCAAACATGCTTTTCTTCCTCTTCTCAATTTCCCATTACACTCACTCCCTCTCTCTCCTTGTCAATTTAGAGTAAATGGTTTTATTTTATCTTAAATTTATCGCCCAGTCGAGGTGGAAGTTTCGGGCCGTCAGTCTCGATTGCATTCATAAATGGATCGATTCATCTCTCCGTTATTGATATTACTACTCTAACACGAATGTGGTGCTAACAATTTAATAACTATCTTTATAGCTCCAAAATATTTCAATTCATGAGTTTACATCAAAAACAATGTCTCTCAATAACACTAAATATCCCCTCTCTTATATAGTAAATCACTTTTTGTTTTGTACCGTGACTCTTTGATGCTCTTTTTCTCCCTCTTTTTTTTGGGTGAATCAGAGGAGATATTGGGCCCTACTTGTTTTATTAAAGAGTCAAAAGAGGTATCACATGAATAAATCTTATACAACCCTCGGCAAGGGAACACTCCCCCTTTTTTTCTCCCTCCTGTCCTATACTTAAGGGAAAAAGTTTATATAGAGCCGAGGTTTTAAACAATCAAATTTGAACCTATCTCAAACATTTCACGAAAAGAGGTTGTTTAGATACTCAAATATCTTCAAATTGATCATCTCAACATCAAGATGCAAGGAAATGAGAAAAAAAAAATAGATTGCAAGTTTTGGGAATAATGTATTTTGTACGTATTTTTGGACTGTCAATTTTCAATATTTTCAAGGTTTCATAGATATATCGGTCTACACTATTTTTGAAGCTTTAAATAAATAAAAAATATACTTTAAAACTATCACAATAATTTTCAATATTTAAACCATATTTTTAAACACTATTTGAAGATAAGCTCTAATTTGATTGTTTAAGCCTAGGCTCTATTAAAACCGCTCCCTGTACTTAATACAAGGCAGTGGTCATGTGTCAGCACCATATAAAGTGTTGGTATTGCGGGGGGCTGAAAGCACCTAGGATCTTAGTATCCGGTCTTTTTAAGATATGAGAGAGGGGGTTAGGTTGAATCGGAAAGCTCGAGTAGTCTCTTGACCAATCCTACACTCAGCTTTTCTCTAAGAATCGGCGCCAATGGTTTGAAATCGGTTCTCTCTTTCTTGAGTAGATTAAAAAGATACCATGCTTTCCGTTTAAAAGCAAGTTTCAAGTCAAAACCTTTTCACAATTATTTAAATTTTAGTGCCGAAAGTTCTTATAATGGCTAGACAAATCTAGACTCCAAAACTTTTTAGACAAATCTAGACTCCAAAACTTTTTACTTTTCGAAATCATAATTATCGATCTTGAGAGGATCAATTAGAGGCAATTCTTGAGCCAGAACTACATTTTCTTTTTAGTGATTTCAGACTACTTTAATGTTGGCCCACAATAGCCATGAATACTCTGATGGGAGCATACTATCCATTTACTACCTCGGGTAAAATCCTACCGGGAATTAATTATAGGACTTGGATTTTTGGGTATTTAACCTCTTAAACTCGTAGATTGCCAGCAATAAAAATATATTTTCTAATTGCACGCTCTATGCATTTGAAAACGCTAATGTCTCAAGACGTAATACAGACCATCCAATTTATAACTAGTGAGATCTAAGTGTTAGAAAACTCAAATTTTAAATTATCTTTTTCAAGAATAATCATCTCGTGATTATTAGGTGGTTGCCAAAAGTTGAGATCGAAGAAATTCTCAGGTCTACAAACCAAAGTAGTAGGTATAAACCATGCTCCCGAAGGAGCATACCCCTTTATAGTAAAGCCAAAGTCTTTGCACTAACCTTACTTGAAAAAGGAAAATAAGAGTTTGGTAGGAATGGAATCCAGTGATATTCTTAGATATAAGCAGAATTGGTGGAGGCGTGGTTAGTTGATACCAGCTTGGATGGTGTTTGTTGGTCAATTCTTCACCGTATGATTTCGGCGCCTTGTGCACAAAGGAGTAAATAGTGAATGACCCCCACCATCTTTCTTACATTCTTAATGGACCCCAACACCCACCACCCATATAATTCGTCCCATACATAATTTCACATTATTTCTACAGTGTTACAGTATTGGCCCCTAGGCACACCAATTATGTTCCCTATAACCCGGAAAATAAAACAGTGGCGCCACCATAAACACATGGTCTAGTCCTTGAGAAACCATGGAGGGATTTATGGGTCTGAAAATTTTAAGACTACAAATTACCTTGAGAAAAATCCAAGATAAAATTCCCCACCCATGTTGTTGGAGAGCTCAACCATGTTTTCAAATGGTCGGCTTATGTTACATAGGCACCATTATGTGCATTGGTGTGACATAAATACAAGTATTAGAAATGCAAAATCTCAAAATTGGCCGGCGTTTTTTTAGTTCATACGCTATATAAACAATTGGGAAATTGAGATTTTCAATAATACAACAATAGTTTCATGGTGAGATTTGAATAAGAAATGGTAATAAGAAGAATATCGATTTCTAAAGTGCCAAACGTGTCATGTAATTTTTGCATCGCGCATGCATGCGTCGGTGGCACGTGTTCACAGTTATGTGTGTGTCTATATCTAAGTATTCGAAATGCCTATCGGTGAATTTGAATAGTGTTTCATCTATTGCAGTTTATATTGAAAAACCGCAATGGTTCTACGAAAGTTATGGCGGAAACTCGTGAATTTTGTGTGAAAAATGACCGCAGCATGTCTGTTGCGATCATTTTATCCGTGTCGCCCCCTCAAAATACAAAGGATAATTTTAGAAGAGGTTGTGATGGGTGTATTTATCAAAAAGATTCTTAGTTTTTATTTAAAAATTATTTTAATAGGTAACTTACGTATTAAGCAAGGGCAAATTGAAATATTTATAAAAGTACAATAGCATTTTAGAAGTTAGTATCCCGAAACTTTATTTGTACAATGCTCTTGTCATTTAATAAAAATTTCAACTTTACCCATTACAGAAATGACAGAAGTACCCTTTGTCTTGTAATGATATTTACAAAATTACCTTTACTTAATTATTAATATATTATAAAAATAATTTTTTTAAAAAAATAAACCACAAAATTAGTAAATCTACTCTTCACAACTCATTATATCATTAACCTATGTAATTTGAAGGGTTGTGAAGTTTAGATTATCTAGTCGTGGGTAAGGGGCTAAAGGGCGAACTACCGAAGGGGGAGTAAAGGGTG